CTGTTTTTGTTACCTTGTTGGGCCTTTTTGGCTTTCCATCTTTCTTTCCCTTCTTACTACTCCCACCTTTCTCAAACCATGCCTTGAATCTACTCTGTTTAGGCCTGCCAGCCTTTCTTTTCGTCAAGGGAGGACACATGGAAAATTCGATCTCCACTTTAGGCCACTGAGATTGATCTGTAAGTGCTGGAATTGGAGTAGCATATGTAGCTTTGAATTTTGCTACCGAATAATATTAATGCAAATATGGGTGCATGTTTATCTTCGGTTGGGATGATAAGAAAAGAATGGCATGCTCACATGGTTTACCAGTGTGTTGCCACTCGAGGCAAGTGCAATCATGCAATTCAGTGTTAACAACATGTCTCCTTTCAGTTTTGTTATCTCTAACTTCAGCACCCCAAGGTGAAGATTTTTCAACAAACAAACGTGAAAGACTTCTGCTCTTATTAACCACCTGTTGTACCACTGCTGGAAGCTTATCACCTTGCAGACAATCACCTATCCTTCTTCTCAATTCCCACAACTGCATGAGCATGATCTTGATTTGGTCAACCTTGTCATGCATAGGCAAATCTTTTAACTCCTTCACCTTGTTGTTGAAACTCTCTGCCAAATTGTTGTTGATGTGGTCACACTTGATGGCAGTGCTGAATCCTGACCTGTACCATAACAAAGAATGGTAGGTGTTCAGCCATGGACCAAACTCACCGCATGCTGCCATTATCTTATCAAGATGATATTTGTGTGTCTATCTAGTGTAAGATCTTGCTGCTGACCACATGCGCCCAAATTCTTCTCCTCTAATTTTTTTGATCAAATTCATCCACAAATGACCGAAGCACTCCCTCTGCTCAGCATGTGGGAAAACATTTTCACTGAATTTTCCAGCCCCTTACATGCATCTGTGTGTATAGCCAAAGGTGACACTGGCCCTAGGCATCTTTTCAACTGGATCATGAACCATGTCCATGAAGCCTCTATTTCTGACTGAAACAAGCCAACATCAATAGGAAACATCCAGTTGTGTCCATCTAGAGCATTGCATGCTACCAACTGACCATTCCACTTGCCTGTAAAAAATGATGAGTCTATGCTCAAATATGGACGGCACCCTGCTTTGAAGCCATCGATGCAAGGCTTCAAAGCCATAAAAACTTGGAGAACTTGACTTCACCTTTGACAGATACCTCAGTATTTATCTCCACAACACTGCCAGGTGACGTCTTTTCCACCTCTGCTTTGAAGTTGTAAAGCAGCCTAAATGTATTTGCCCAATCACCATATAAATTTTTCATTGCCCTTTGTTTTGCCTTCCACACTGTGGTATATTTCAGTTTAATGGGGTACATCTTTTCCAAGTCTACTTTGAGTTTCTTGGCAGTAGTGTTTGGTGTTTTGGCTAAAATTGGGGTGATCTTTTCTGCAACCCAAAGTTGTGATGTCATGGTTGGTACTCTCTGTGAACTTGTAATACAAGTATGTTGATTGGGGATTTGGTTAACCCTGACAGTACTTCTATCAGGCTGCAGTCTAGCAGATATGTACCACTTGCAAGGCTTGACACTACCATCAAATCCTCTGCACCTCACATAAAAATTCTTTTTATCAGTCCAAACAGTCTTGGCATCAAAGTCATGTTTCACTGCATAAGTCTTGAAACACATTCTAAATTCATCCATGTTTGGCCACAACTTCCCCACTTCAATGACAGGGTTTTCTTTGTCATACACATGCACCAGCTCATCATTATGTGCATTATCTACTTCATCTGCAGCTTGTTTCCATCAACTGTCCATCTACATCTTCATCAGCATTAGCAGGCAAACTAGATTCACCCCTCTCCTGCTTATCTCTGTCATCGACTGGAATGCCAAAAAGTTTGGCCATCTCAATGTCAGGCATTGGTGCAATGACCAAATCAGTAGGCTCATCTAATTCAACTACATTCCAATCACCTGTCCCTCTTCGGCTATTACTGTAAGTTCAGTACACATGGGAATCAATGGCCTATGTGAAGCCCAATCATCATCTACCATCTGCGCAGCCAAGTGTGATGACACATATCCAACCTTTGAAAAAAATATTCAGATCAATGAGCTCAGCAAAAAAATTAGCCCGTTTGCTTGTCCAGCCGTTTTGCCGATCGATTTCTTCAACAATCTGTTCACCATCTTCTATTCTCACATACTCTCCTTTCCAATCATCAAACCGCAACAGTGATACTTCTTGCTCTGGATCCCAAACAATATTCTCCCCAATTTTTTCCACCCATTTCTTCAATGCCTTCTCTCCCATGTTCTGTACAACTTGTGGATCAATCTCTATAACTCAACCTCCCATTTAACAATTGTGTGTCTCTCAATGTTCTGTATGCTACCATCAACTAATTTTGCCTTTGATGGAAGTAAATTGACCGTCAATTCGAACATCCGAGCGACAACATCCCCTCTGTCAGTGGCGTACAATGTGAGCCCGTGAGAAAGAGCAGACGAAATTGGATCAAAGAGAGGCGCATTACCTATTCGAAGTTGAATCTTGCGGCTCCATCTCAGTATGCCCACGGGCTCCCCTCACAACTTGTCGATTCAACAAGCGAAAATAGAGGAAACGAGCTGAGATCTACGGGCCCGAGAGAGGAACGAGACTAGGGTTCGAATTCACTCACCATTTTCTGAAGACGAAGGGAATGGGTGCCCGATGAGAACGAGGGCTCCGCCGCCGCCGCCGAGAATGCAAGATCCGCCGCTGCCGGAGAAGAAGTGAGGTGGGGGGCAGAGTGGCAGTGGGGGCGGACGGGGGTGGCAGGGCACAGTCAGCTATTTTGAGGACCAATTAAGTTGGACCCACATGTCCTAACATAAACGGGCTTGGTTAACGACCAATTTAACCCCATTTAACACCCAATGTGACCCTAGGCTATTTACACGCTAAAATGTGTCGCACCACAACCATTCATTCGAACTACATCGCACTCCTTCCAATTTGCATGAAAAACGTTGCACAGGAGCTATTGGCCCATTTTTTTAGAACGTTATGAAAAAACTTGATGCACTTCGTGTACAAACTGAATAGTCTCTGATGAAGTATCTGAGTTTGGAATGGAAACCACCGCCTAGCACACATAACTCTATTATTTAAACTTATTGCGCCCTCAAACTTTTTCAATGTTCAATACACACCAATCACAGTGCAATGCTCAAATTTGAACACCTATTGAGTTGGTTTATTTTTTAAGCATTAATTGATTTGCTGGCAACTAAAAAGTCCAAAACGCTATTCTGTTTGAAATAACATGCAAATGAGCTATGAAAAGTTTGAAACTTGGCATGGGTTCATCGTATCACCCCTATAGGTTGTGGTACAAATTTGAGAGCACTACACAAAAAACTAGATGTACTTCATGTATAAACTAAACACTCTTCAGTGAACAGAAACACTCGCTTTCCCATTGAAATCCATTTTTAACAATATTTTCCCTTTAAACCTTTTCTATGTTGAATATACACTATTGAAAGCGCAATGTTGTAGCTTGAGGCTACACTAGGTTAATGAACATGATATATTCAAGCACTTTCCATACTTACAAGACCTGTGGCGGGCGCCATCTTCTCCCTGCCACTGCTACTTTAGAAATTTTTGGAGAGTTTGGGCATGGGTTAGCAAAATATTACCGTGGCAGGAATTTCTCATGGCCCTCCATAGATACGTTGAGAACCAATGGTTGGCGTGTCACCTGACCCGCCACAATATTGTTTCTATCCCATGGCTAATTCCGTGAAAATATAGGAGTGGCATTGACGATTATTGCCCATCATACCGATCATTTAGCAGTGGCCATCCCTTTTTTCCACCCGCCACTAGAACTTCCCAAAATAATTGTGGCAGGTTCCTATCTATTCCCGCCACTAATGTGACCCCGGCTATAAGTCTTTCCAGTAGTGGCATGGCATGCGGGCCAGTAACTTAAAAAACGGATTGGTAAATACTACAACGTGAAAATTTTATTCTGAGATGAAAGCTATATTTTCTAGTAGACCAAGCCTATGTCACATACTATATATGTGAGCGGTAGGCATAAGCGAGATGGTTGACCTTCGCCTAGTGCCTATGCGGTGCTTAAGTGCCCTACGCAAGCCTAGGCGGTAATATAGTTTTGGTAATCAGGGTGTATATGTGATTATTATTATGTGTATGGATATTATGGTATACATATAAGTTAACTACCAGGTACTTTCATTGGAATATGTCATGTTTGGCATATTGGTGCAATATAGCATGATTTCCCGATTGGGTAGACAATTCCTTTCTTGGCCTGCCTAGACTTCCACTTATGCCCTAGGCGAGCCATTTGGCCATGGCCTAGCGCCTAAGCATGCCTCAGCGCCTCCTAGGCACTACTTTTTCCCAACAGAGTATGTGTGAAACATGGTGTAGAGCATGTCGCTCTCTTGGACATCACCACAAATATTTGCCCTGGATTAGATGTGGAATAAAATTACTAGCACACATTTAGAAGTGAGTTAATATTTTATTAGAACACATTTCAAAGTATAAATAAGTGTTTATGTGGTGGATGGAAATCCCCTCTAGGTCGGTGCGTGCCAAAAATCTTTTCCAGATACAATGCACACATGTGATCAAATTCACAGACATTAATACATTTAATGGAAAAAATATATATATAAACAAAGTAGCTTATTCTATATGGGTTTAAAAGATGCATGATGTACACACATTTACAACACATGCATATGTAGCTAGGTATACCCTGGTGGGTAGTGCATATACAAGCCAATACACATACACACAATTGAAAAACTAGCACAAGAGTGGCATGCCAAGCCATGCCATGATTGCAAACTCTCTCAAGGTCACACTAACAAATAAAAATGCGGCACCAACCAATATACGGGTTGGCATATATCAACTAACCGTCTGATGGATTATTAATTTATGCATGCACACACATATATATGTTGTCTTGGGTTATTTGATCATCAATTCTGCCAAATGTCATCCATACCCATGTTCATCAATGAGGTATCGCCAACTGCTGTTGCAGCGGTGTTCCCTGGGTAGTTGTTCCTTAGCCCGGCCACAACATCCTCCTGTGACAGCATCGACGCCAACCCACCTCCAGGTTGAGCCCCGACCATGAGACCCTGATCTGCACCCATATGCATCATCATCTGTTGATGTTGTTGTTGGTGTTGGTAGAGCGACAGAGGCAGTGTTGGGTTGACCATCATTTGGTGCTGGTGGTTGTTCCCGATGTAGTGGTAATTCATAATAGGAAGCGCCGCACTGCCCATCATCGATGAGCCAGTTCCGACATCGTGCGACTTGTATGAAGAAGCTCCAGGAAACAGCGGTGCATGCGCACATGTTGACGACATGTCATATTCCATGAGAGGAGGCAATGTATCTAAGTCGACAAAGCCCTGCTGATGTTCTGCTCCTGTGTACATTGGCATGTCATATGACGGTGTCACCATCTTCTTTAGTCCGGTGCTCTTATGGAAGATCCTACAAACCACCCACTGTTCCTACAAACATACATAAATTACATAAGTACAAATCAAATGTTTTATGTAGCATGCCCCAGGTGTGACGCTATTGTCGTAGATGTTGATCACTTTTTCATTAACTGCTCATATTTGGCACATATCTTGCATAACTTGGGTATTTAGGCGCCCCTTACTAGTGCCCATCTCAGGAATTGGCAACATAGTGACTCCACTAAGCCTCGACTCCAACTTTTGGACTCGATCAACCTTTCCATCCTTTAGAACATTTAAGACATATATGAAATGCCATCACATTCCATGGTTGCATTTACTCACCTCGGCCTACTAGTATGAACATTATCTACAATTTCTCTCTTTTGACCCATACGTTCAGGGTACCTACTTAAAAGGAGGCCGCTATGTCATGGTGGATGTAACTCCCCTCACACATCGGTGCAACCTTGTAATTATTTCCATGTATTGGCTACTGTGAGTAATATTCAATTGGGGGTTCTCCCGTTTGATTGTTCAAAATAAGTAGCTAACTACCTACTAGCATGTTGATGATTCATGAGCACTACTCTAGTATAAATTTATTATATACCTTGGAAGCCATGTTGGTTCTGGTGACGGTGCGGGTGGTGATGGATGGGTTGGATGTCAGCTTCTTGCTGCTCTCGAGCCTATACTCATGCATGATCCAATTGGTCTTCTCCCCCCTAGGCGCCCGACCCTTGTAGAAGACGAGTGTCTTCTTCATGCCGATGAGTTTGAAAGGTGGCTGGAAGATCTCCTTGTCCTTTCCGGTGGCCTTCCAATAGCCGGTCTCCGTCGCCCGGTTCGTTCGTATCCCAGTGGGGTACTTGCGATCCTTTCGGGAGTAAAAGTACCACTCCTTCTCCCCCATCTTCGCCTTCTCTGGTAGCTCCCATGGCTCGTACTTGTTGAGGTTCACATCCTCAATCGCCGCGGCAACGAAGGCTTCATCGAGCACCTTAGGGACCACATAGAATTTGATGATCTCCTCATCCGTCGGGTGGAACCTAAACCCCGGCGGTAGTACCAACTGTTTCTGCTGAACTTGAAGGTGGTCTGCCATGGTGGAGGCTTTATGTGCAACAGATTCTGGGGTGATGGTAATATTGGACGCAACCATAGACATGAGTATGGAAGAAATTAATGAGCTAGGGATATCCATGGAGACGCTTAAATATGAGTTAATGCATGTAGTAGCAAGGCGCTTGCAAGAGAAGCCTCAACGTTTCCAGACCTTTATTTATTTTGTATCTAGTGGCACTGGCTATGGATGGATAGATAGATAGATACCTTCCCCATCTTTACAACTGTGCGTTGTTTGTCGTGTTGGAGGAGCCACACACTTGTGGTGACAGGTAGAAAGGTTTCTCGAACCTATCCAAGCGATGACATGCCAGATTACATACGTGGTATTCGTGCTAGCCCTACTCGTGCCATATGCATGCTTCTCTTGTTAGTGTTTGCCTTTGTGATGCAAACCAATCAAACACTCACATTTGTCGCACTAGCTGGTTGCGCATATATAGCATTGCCCACTGTTTCCTGTGATGATTGATATAGATGTATCTAGCTATAAATATTGTATAGCCCCTACCACAGGTTTACACAAAATCTATGTGCTTTGTGGAAGTCTCTAGCCACTAGATTGACTGGTACACCCAGCCACGGTTTGCTTAATTGATAATCCTCCATGCTGTGGTGCCTACAGGTGTCAGCCACAACTAGGGTCACATTGCTCCTGCAGGTGCGCGGCCATGACCGATCTCTACCTTCTGCTGCCTAAAATCATGGCCTTTTGGATCAATTACAACTAGGAGAGGGGAAGGGCACTAGTTGTGGCTGAATTCCCGCATGTATAGATAGGACCGATACGGTTCATGCTTTACATGCATGCACGCACATACCTGTAGTATGTATACATACGCACATCACTGGCATTTCTCTACAGATAATCATCCGTTGCATGTCTTTTATATGCTTTCCAGGGTGTCGTGTACCGGTGCACGCTAGAATGTATGCCACGCATCAAAGCTTCCTCGCCTTCTAAGAAAACATAGTGCGGGATATATGGATCAACCCAACACTCAAGGTGTACATGATTATGTGCTTATCAAATGCATGCTTGTCCATATCCCAACCTTGCATGCATCTCCTCGTGCCTAGACTGTTTTTAAAATTATTTTATACTAGTGGAATGACAATGCATTGTCAAGAAACAATGAAAAAAATTAGAGATACTTATCAAACAATTGTTATAATGTAAAAATGTGTGTCAAACATGATGACATGAACTTTGGGATCTATGAACTTTATTACAGCTAGCGGATCTCGGAAGTTCATAAGCACATATTGGGGTGACTAATTACCACGCTATCAAGTTCTATATGTTTAATTCCAGTGAGCTTGCTGCCACGGTTTTGAATTTAATTGTCCACAAACAAGCCTGCTCGTATTTGTGCCTAATTTTGACCATAAATTTTACCATGAAAATATAAGATGTGTCACATCAGTATTTTCTCACTCGAATTTTCTGTTCTTAGGAAATGGTGATTTGTTTGTAGTTGGTACAATTATTTTTTCAGCATTAAACTATAAATACGTGACCGCCTACTTTCGCATCTCTAAACATGAAATTGCACATAAAATTTGCAATACGCAACCAATGGAGTGACCACTAGAGAAACTTGTATACCTAAGAGAATTATAGCCACTACCTAATCTATCTTAACATGCAACCTATCCACATCACCACATATGCCACCCCATAAGTTTATCTCGATGTTTTCCTTTCCACTAAGATAGCAGTTCTATTTCCAAGCATAATAATCAATCTATCGCATGCCCTCCCTCATTCGAAATCAATTCTAATTCCACCCTCTAAAACATATGGCACACTATCCCAGCCGCATCACCTGATCTTACCACTAAATTTTCTCTCGACTTGACAGACCAAGGTCAATACATCTCAGCTTCCCACCTATTCTTGATTGAGTTGGAGCCGCCGTAATCGAGCTTCCACATGCAAACTCATTCCCATGCCAAGATGAGCCTCGATGTTGCGCCGTCATGATGCGGCTGGACAGCAACACGCTGTGGTGCCCCGCATCTGCTTTGCCCAGCTAGCTACCTCCCATCATCCACATTAGTTTTGTCCAGCCGCGGTGCGCCCTACACACCCACCCCGCATAATTGCAGTACCACCAACGACCTTTTCTCCAGCATGGAGCACATCGATCTGGTCGCTGTGGCAAGGGTGGGAGAGGAAGAAGGTGGGCTCTTTGCCTCTACCGAACTCCTTTCTTTACTCATGTCTGTTAAGTTCAGTCAATTGGACTGGAACGTCCTAGCATCACAGGAAGCTTGTGGGGTTTCATTGCCATGTGCAGGCTTAACACATGTATCCCATCGGCAATGTAAATGACACCATGTAATGCATGTCTTTTAGCTAATTCTATTTCCCTAAATTCTTTTACATCATTGAATCTAAAGGTCGTTGGTATTACTGATATATTCCACTTGATTTGAACTACTAACCAGTTAACCATATATATGTGGATTGCATAATCTGTCATGTTGCAATTCATTCAGATTTTTAAAATAGACTTTTTTTATATAAGATTTGATTTACACTTCTAGAAGCAGTCCATCGGTCAATCTCACTGCATCCATTATACATCGACCTGCCAATATTATTGATTAAATACGGCGGAATGGATGAAGCAAAAGTGGTTATTTAAGTATGAAAAATGCATCCCAGATTACCCCTTCAAAGTCAGAATCCTTTCCACATCCATGGTGATGGGTCATGCTATTTTTAGGTTATGCAACACGATTTGGTTTTCTACTCATTTGCCTTAGACAAACGTTTGATTGGTAACATATGTTTATGTTTTTTATGGATTTTCAGAAATAGTATTGATGTATAATTACATGATGCCTAACAAGGGATTGCCAAATTATGTGTAGGGTATAATTTGGTGGTAGCATGAATTTTGACACCCCCCCATTAAAACTTTCCCTTTACTATCTTTGTTGCAGGGGATGCTACATTACACTCATCCAGATGCAATTCCTTTTCTCAGAATTTGGAACTATGTTGTTCCCGACAACTGTTAGCATAAAAATTTGCAAAAAAATTTGGCATCCAAGAGATTACTGTATGGATGCTCTTCCTGATAGGTCACCATATAACAACAAAAGTTTTAAGGTATAACTGACTCGTTCTTGCTGCCGCCCCAAGCTATGCATATGAATTGCACATCTACATTTGATCCTGGTCTTGGCACAACTAGTGTTGGTGAGTCACGTGATGAATATTAATTCCCCAGTGCATCAACAGCGGTACTTTTGATTCATATGGTTATGCTTAGTTACATTGACCTCTGTGCATCTCCATCATTTCTATGGGTATGATGCCATGGCAAAAATTACACGTAATTGCAAGGTAGGGGAAATTAGTATCATTACATTTTATTTGAAAAATTACTGAGCATAAATTAATAAATTAATGGAATGCATGTACTGATTTGCTTGGCTCCGGCAAAACCCATTGGACTGTCTATGGCAATGTTCGACTTAAGTCCACAAGGTGAGTTTTACTGCATCTAATTTTTATTTTTCATTTAATCCTAATAGGAATGATGAGCTTTCTAGCACCAATGCTACATGAGAAAGGTCATCAAGTGGAATGGTTTGGACATCAACTAACTAGAACATGGGTCATTTCAGACACATGTTCATCTTCTTTGCTGGTAAAAGTAACAAGCTACCGATGTCACCATATTGTGCTTATGTTATTACCGTTTCTATTTGTACATTTTTTCACTATTTTATATTGAGATATGATCTATAAGATACTCATTGCTTTAGTTTCCATCTGTATTTCGCTCTTTGTAGACCACTATGTTGCACGCTTCCATCCTGTAAAGTCTATTTATTTTGGTGTCGCCAACATGCCATTGGCAAAAAATGTCTGTTTGAAAGACCTTTGCCAACTAGACATCTGATGCCAAACAATGTTGGTCGAAAATGTCCTTTCTTTTCTGATCGACTTTTTGTGGTAGAAAGTCTTTTTCCCTACCAACATATATGTAGGGATCCTATGTAATAGTGTAGTGCAATGTAACTCACTGCTATTAGTCATAACTAGCTTCATTACACACCTCAAGCTAGCTTTTCATTTAGAGATGAAGTGCCAAAAATTATGAATTAGATTGTTATCAAGTTCATGTAAGGCTGGAATTGGAGAACTAGACACCTTGGGAGTGTCTTGAGAATGATTTCTATCCTTAAGCTTTAGCTAGACTTATATGTGTGTTCGTGTACGCCTATTCGTGCAACCAAGGCCGTCTCAATTGCTCATGCGGAAGACATAAAAGAATGCAAAGCGGCATGATGGCTAGATGGTTAGGGTTCTAGGATACTAGGCGAGCAAAACCAATGAGATCAACAACTTGAAATTCTGACGACGAGTAAGTGATATGCCAAAACTTATCTACTTTTCCAATCATTTTGCTTATACTTACTCTTCTAATTTTATATTGATGTGCCAAAACTTGAAATCCTGTTTTATTTGAAGATTTTTAATCGAGTTTTATATTGGTGTAGTTTTCATGTGTGTGGGTACTTCGCCAAAAAATAAGGTTAAAAAAGTTTGAGGAGTTCTCATCCAGAGGAGCACCACTAGCAAGGAGGGCCCAACCGAGGTGCACACCACTTGGGGGCTAGCACTAGTCTAGGGCGCGTAGCCAAGTCATGCGAAGCCCACATATACCCAACTCCCCCATTTCGACTATAAATTTTCTAGGACCTCAAAGTTCACTAAGATTTCTTGTGTATTTTTCCTAGTTTAGAGAGCTACTGCCTTCGTTGATCATTGTCTTATAGGGTTCTTCGGAGGTTAATCCCACCTTCAGAGAGGGCATTTCGTCACCATTGACTTCACTAGACCATTCTCCATCATCTTCATCATGTTTTCCGCAATGCATGTATGTGCAATCTGATGCCCGCACATGGGGTGGATGGAAATTGGATGATGCCAATCATGTAATATTCTAAGATTTCAGGGTATTGATCCCTATTATGATTATTGTTCTTGATCTTTCGTTGCTATGAATTTGTTATGCATAATGCATATTACTAGGTTCGGAATACTGTGAGTTG